AACATTCATCACCCATGCTTCACACCCATACAAGAGTGTTGGTACAACTATACTCTCACATATTCCCCTCTTTGCTTCCACGGACAAAGTTCATTGTCTCCAGAGACTCCTAAGTGCACCACTCACCCTTTTCCCTTATCAATTCTATGATTCACCTCATCCTTCATAGATCCATCTGCTGACACGTCCACTCCTAAATGTCTGAATACATTCACCTCCTCCATACTCTCTCCCTCCAATCTGATACCAAATCTTCTGCCACCTAATCTTTTTGTTATCCTCATCACCTTACTCTTTCCTGTATTCACTTTTAATTTTCTTCCTTTACATACCCTACCAAATTCATCCACCAACCTCTGCAACTTCTCTTCAGAATCTCCCAAGAGCACAGTGTTATCAGCAAAGAGCAACTGTGACAACTCCCACTTTGTGTTTGATTCTTTATCTTTTAACTCCACACCTCTTGCCAAGACCCTCACATTCACTTCTTTTACAACCCCATCTATAAATATATTGAACAACCATGGTGACATCACACATCCTTGTCTAAGGCCTACTTTTACTGGGAAATCATCTCCCTCTCTCTTACATACTAAACCTGAGCCTCACTATTCTCATAAAACTCTTCACTGCTTTCAGTAACCTGCCTCCTATACCATACACCTGCAACATCTGCCACATTGCTCCCCTATCCATCCTGTCTTTTCCAAATTCATAACTCCTACAAAAACCTCTTTACCCTCATCTAAATACTGTTCACTTATATGTTTCACTGTAAACACTTGGTCTACACACCCCCTACCTTTCCTAAAGCCTCCTTGTTCATCTGCTATCCTATTCTCCGTCTTACTCTTAATTCTTTCAATAATAACTCTACCATACACTTTACCAGGTATACTCAACAGACTCATTCCCCTATAATTTTTCACTCTCTTTTGTCCCCTTTGCCTTTATACAAAGGAACTATGCATGCTCTCTGCCAGTCCCTAGGTACCTTACCCTTTTCCATACATTTATTAAATAATAGCACCAACCACTCCAAAACTGTATCCCCACCTGCTTTCAACATTTCTATCTTTATCCTATCAATCCCAGCTGCCTTACCCCCTTTCATTCTACCCACTGCCTCACGAACTTCCCCCACACTCACAACTGGCTCTTCCTCACTTCTAGAAGATGTTATTCCTCCTTGCACTATACACGAAATCACAGCTTCCCTATCTTCATCAACATTTAACAATTCCTCAAAATATTCCCTCCATCTTCTCGATACCTCTAACTCTCCATTTAATAACTCTCCTCTCCTATTTTTAATTGTCAAATCCATTTGTTCCCTAGGTTTCCTCAACTTACCAATCTCACTCCAAAACTTTTTCTTATTTTCAACAAAATTTGTTGATAACATCTCACCCACTCTCTCGTTTGCTCTCTTTTCTCCCTTACTACTCTCTTTACATCATCATTCCACCAATCACTCTTCTTCCCTCCCACACCCACTTTTCTGTAACCACAAACTTCTGCTGAACACTCTAACACTACATTCTTAAACCTACCCCATACATCTTCGACCCCATTGCCTATACTCTCACTAGCCCATCTATCCTCCAATAGTTATTTATATCTTACCCTAACTGCCTTCTCTTTTAGTTTATACACCTTCACTTCTCTCTTACTTGCTGCTTCTATTTTCCTTGTATCCCATCTACCTTTTGCTCTCACTGTAGCTACAACTAGAAAGTGATCTGATATATCTGTGGCCCCTTTATAAACATGTACATCCTGAAGTCTACTCAACTGTCTTTTATCTACCAATACATAGTCCAACAAACTGTCATTACATCCTACATCATATCTTGTATACTTATTTAACCTTCTTTTTCTTAAAATATGTATTACCTATAACTAAACCTATTTCTATACAAAGTTCAATCAAAGGGCTCCCATTATCATTTACACCTGGCACCCCAAACTTACCTACCACACCCTCTCTAAATGTTTCTCCTACTTTAGCATTTAGGTCCCCTACCACAATTACTCTCTCACTTGGTTCAAAGGTTCCTATACATTCACTTAACATCTCCCAAAATCTCTCTCTCTCCTCTACACTCCTCATTCTCCATTCAAACATCTCAACTTTAAAATATTCCTCCTTTTACATTTTGTAATTTATACAGGAGAAGGGGTTACTAGCATCTTGCTCCCAGTATTGTAGTTGCCTCTTATGACACACACAGCTTATGGAGAAAGGATTCTTCTCTACTTCTCATAGAGATGATAGGAAATAATGTAATAACCAGAACTATTAAGAAAATAAAAGAAAACTGAGATGGAATACCTGGGTGTATATACACAAACATGCATATACAGTATGACCTAAATGTAAGTTGAAGTAGCAAGATGAATCTGTCATTTTGCACCATTGAATCTTGGTATGGAAGTGTAGCATGGTATCTTGGTAACAAGATGTTTCCTACAACTATACTGCTAAACTGTGACCCAACTCTTGGACATGACCTTCCTCCACTAGGGAGTCCTACTATACCACTCATCTTACTCCAATACATGTTTTCATCCTTATGCATATACTTTAGTTTTATCAAGGCTAAGGGAGCAAACACCTATCAAGGCTGAGGGACTGACCACCTCTTCCTCCACTGTTTCGAGTTCATAATCTCCGTACTGGATTGAAAAAGCCACTGCTTTTCAAAGCGTCTTAGTAAATATAGATACCCAGGTGTTGCATGTATGTCTTATTCATCAATAATCCCTAGGCTGAGTAGTGACCCTGTCACAATGGTTGCTAACTGTATGATGGAAAGCAGAAAGGTCTTCCACTATCCATTATTACAATAATATATGTATATGTATTTTGTAATATTAGTTTTGTAAGATGTGGTTTTTATCATACTGTTAGTGATATTAAGCCTTGGTAAGACTTCTGCATCCCAGGAGGTCTTATGGTAATGATCTCACCTGGAGATATTTCAAGCTAGCAATATGCCACAAATCCTTGACTAACCATTTTCATTGTGATTCAGGTATATCCTAAGCTTTACAAGGAAATAAACATTTTCATTTTCATTCATCTAAGTCTAGCCTCGTACTTCTTGTTAATCTGACCAAAGAATTAAACATTTTAAGAACTTACCTTGGAGATATGTATGTGCACCTCATGTCAGCAGTTAGGGGGAGTATAAAGAAAGAGAGCCCAAGGGACTCACACACTTTGATAGGTCAAGCCATTCTATGTTGCCCTGAGGCATGTTGGCTACATTGGCATTAGGGAGTTAGGCTAGGTTAGAGCTACAAATTTCTTGCTTTAAATGTGTTGAACATGTACTGTGGCAATCTCACAGTACTGAATATCCATTATTTATTTATCACTTACATAAATGCACACTAATAATTTTTAATATGTTAGTCTCTGCTTCTTAAGATTTTGTGCTTATCTTGAATACTCTCAAGTGATCTAAGAGAGTTAGCCCAGTACCCATGTGAGTAGATGAGATGTTAGATTATGTGAAGTAATGTATAAAGTAGCACCATATCCTGAACTATTATACTACAATTTTGTACTTGAAATAAGAACCACAATTCTCTCGAGTATCTCCAAAAAAAAGTATTTGTCTGTGTTTATCTACAACACATAATTAAGGCCTCATCAAAGAGCTTATTTTACTGTTTATAATTATTCACTTCTAGTGAACAATTATAAATTGACAGGGTTGTCTGAGCCCTCTCAGTTATTCATGATGAGTGCCTGTCCCTTAGGCACTCTGCATCCAGCTACATGGTGCCAAAGTCAATATGTGCCTGCAATGTTGAGTCTGTGCCGGATACATTTCAGTATCTTTATTCACTTCTTAGTGGTTTTGGGTATGCAGTGTGACCAGTTAACAGGTCCCACTCTGCAGACTAATGATCTTAGGCACTCTTACATAATGACCTACCATAATTACTGGAAAGGTATAAGAGTAGAAACAGAGTGTCTTTCCTTCTATTTTTATAAAGTTTGGTATCCTATCTGTAGATGTTGCAGCCAGGAAGCTCAGTTGCTCAAGAAGAAACTTATCAGTGTCAATTTGTTTCATAAATGTAGGATTCAAACCCAAATACCTTGCCTGCAAGGTGAATATCCTAGCCAGTACACAATTAAGATTCTTTTCTTCATTATTTTTAACATGTTCTTTATCCTGGAAGATACTGGAGGACCAGGTCCCAAATCTACACTCTACCATGAAAACATAGTACAGTATGGGAGGAAATTTAAAATAATCCTATTGAAAAACAGGGATGCTAAGGACACATTAAAAGAACATTTTAACATCTGTGGCCCGTGACTCATCAGCCTACTACCAGCAGCTATTAAAAACACTGTCCCCCCCACCCCCCCAAAAAAATGCATAAATCTTCAAGAGAAAAGTGGAAAGCTGCCTTCAATAAGTGCTAGATCAACCAGGCTGTGATAGCTATGTGGGCTAACAGTCCACTAACAGCAAAAACTTGAATGAACAAGCAATCAAAAAGGAAGCTTGACACCAGAGTGCAATGGTAGAAATCCCCTTGAAACTGATCACAGATATGCTGTGTTTTATAATTTGTATCGCCTAACTTTGACATCAGTCTACTGTCTCTCTTTCTTCACTGCTCATTTGTTTATCATTATCTAATACATCCATTTATTTCTAATGAGACAAGAAGTCAGTACTGGTACAGTATTATTACTAGCAGGTGATCATCCACCCTCATTCTGCACTTTACACACTATTCTTGACTACCCAGGTAATATACTGTTACTTGTACAGTTTTTATAAGTCACCAGTATTGTCCCTTTCTTCACTTTATTTTTTTAAGTCCTTCTAATTTTTCCAACATATACTGTAACTTAATAATGAAAAATCTCCATCCAAAATACTGTACCAGTTATTTTTTTTAGCTATATTCTAAGTTGAGTTCCTGATAAATATTTTTCTTTTGCCTGTTCTTAATTTTATACTTACATCAGTCATGTTTTGAAGAGAAGGAGCAGCGATGAATACAACATAGGGTGCAAATTCAGCTGTGCGTAGGATCTTGAGTGCTTGTGGTTCCACATCTAAGATTGCCATACGACCTTCACCATGAATCTTACGAATGGTTTCCAGTTTTGTTCCATACATTGCATCTTCATGTGTTCCTGAAATGTTATAATGCAGTTAGTAACAGCAAATATTAACTCATACATTGCATCTTCATGTGTTCCTGAAATGTTATAATGCAGTTAGCAACAGCAAATATTAACCCATCCATTAGCTTCAGTCACATCTCCAAATTCATGGGAATAAATGTATACATGTGCTTATCCAGAATCCCCCCCTTCAGGGGAGGTGCCTTAATGCTAATGAAGGGATCTTAATGTAAGGAATTGGAGCAGCCTTTTCTCTCAATTCAATGAGAATATCTCCCATTCCCCAGGTACTGTATAACCACTACAGTTTTAGTCCTCCCCATGAATGTAATATAGACTCGCCTCACATAATGCGGCAGTTCCATTCATGAAATTGATGTTTTGTGTAATTCTGAGCTAGGAAATACATGTAATGTATTGGAAAAATAAGTTTACATTCACGGCACCATCATGTTTCAATACAATTTTATTGTTTATATTAGAAAACAATGAAGTACTATTTTATCATACTTTAAATTCCTTGGTTTATTGCTTGCTGATAAGCATTTAATTAAAGATAGTTATATGACCAGTTAGCCATAGAAAAGTGTGAATGTTTTTTTGTAGCAGGTGACCCATCACATGATTCACAATACAATTTTCTCATAATTGAGACATGGAAGTAGTTTTTCATACCTTAAATATCTTGCTCTTGATTCTGGCTCTCTTCAGGCCATATAAAACCCTAAATGGGAGGGTTTTCATGCCTGAACCATTTTCTCAACACTCTGACTGCAGGTTCAAGCCCCACCTGTGGTATGGTTTGTTAGCAATCATGTCACTACGATTTCGTAAGTCCTGATACCCACATTTTGGTTGCTCTCTCTACATCCTCTCCTTCAGTGTTCTGATACCCACATCTTGGCTGTCCTCTTTTCATTGTGCTTCACCTTTAATGTTGATGTTCTTTGAGATTTCTTGACCAAGACTGATTTGTTACACTAACTTTGACCTTCCTAGTTAGTATATGAGCTTATCCTTCATACAATTTTTCAGTCGTCCACTCCTCTCCATCCTGTAACAATGTATGACCCTCAGATATTTAATGCATTTTTCTGTGAATATAACAATGATAATACCTTACCTCTGATATACCTTTGAAGAGTTTCGAGAGTTTATCTGTTGCTTGCCTGGTCAACCAGGCCCGCTGCCCCACATATCCATCACAGCCTGGTTGATCTGGCACCTAGTGAAGATACTTGTCCAATTTCCTCTTGAAGGCTTCTACACTTATTCCAGCCATGTTTCTGATACCTTCTAGTAAGATGTTGAATAGTTTGGGACCACGGATGTTGATACAGTGTTCCCTTATTGTCCCCACCGCACCCCTGCTCCTCACTGGGTTTATTTTACACTTCCTTCCATATCTCTCACTCCAGTATGTTGTTATGGCAATGTGCAGATTTGGGACCAGGCCCTCGAGTATTTTCCAGGTGTATATTATCATGTACCTCTCTCTCCTCCACTCCAATGAATACAGGTTCAAGACTTGCAGGTATTCCCAGTAGTTTAGGTGCTTTACAGGCTCAATGTGAGCCGTAAACAATCTCTGTATTTGCTCCAGCTCAGATATTTCTCCTGCTCTAAACAAGGCCGTCAGCACTGAGCAATATTCTAAGTGAGGGAGCACTAGCGTTTTGAAGAGTGCCACCATCGGCATTATTTCCCTTGTTTTGAAAGTTCTCAATACCCACCCCGTCATCTTCCTGGCTGTTGTAATCTTTGTCTTGTTGTGGTTTTTAAAAGAAAGGTCATCTGACATAGTTATTCTCAGGTCTTTTACGTGTTCCTTACATTCTATTTGGTGGCCCTCTTGAGTTTTGTATACAGTTTTCCTTTTGAGTTCTTCATTCTTTCCATACCTAAGCAGCTGGAACTTATCACCACTGAACGTCATGTTGTCCTCTACCGTAGTGACTTTCATGCTTATTTTAGTGTCATCTGCAAATGATGATACAGAAGTGTGCTGGGTGTTTTTGTCTATGTCTGCTATGAGGATGAGAAACAGCAGAGGTGCCAGGACAGTGCCTTGGGGCACTGAGCTTTTGACCTCGCTGATGCTGGATCTTGCCCTGTTCACTACTACTTTTTGTGTTCTGTGTGTTAGGAAACCAAAAATCCATCTGCCTACCTTCCCCGTAATGCCCATGGCTTTCATTTTGTGTGCCATCACTCCATGATCACATTTGTCAAACGCCTTTAAAAAATCTGTGTAAATCACATCTGCGTTTTGGCCATCTTCCAGTGCCTCCGTAATTCTGTCATAATGATTTAGTAGCTGTGACAGGCATGATCGTCCTGGGTTATGTTGGTTGTGCTGGTCCATGAAATTTGTAATCTGCCATCTCATCACTCTTTCGAAGATTTTTATGATGTGCGAGGTTAGGGCTACTGGTCTGTAAATTTTAGCTAGTGCTCTACTACCTCCCTTATGCAAAGGAGCTTTGTCTGTACTCTTTAAGACCTCCAGTATTTCACCTAGATCTAAGCTCTTTCTCCAAAGAATACTGAGGGTACTTTGTGGTACTTGGCACTTCTTCATAAATAGAGCATTCCATGAATCTCGTCCAGGTGCGAGTGAGTGGGCATGTTTTCCATTTCTTTTTTGAAAACTATGTAATTTGTACTTATGTCAGTTACTTGGTCTGCACGGCCTTTTCTGGAGTGAAAAATATTTCTGCATTTTCTACCTTGCTGTCATTCAGTGGGTTACTGAGCCTTACTAAGTGTCTAGAAGTAAATACACACAGATCTAAATGGATTGTGAAAACGTGCAATTGCATTAAGTTTTATAACCTGCATGAACTATATCACTGTAGACAACAAGAGCATTTCACCCCTCCATGGAAGATGTGTCACATAATTTAATGTCACATACCTGCAAGTCCCTCCCAAGAAGCTCATTGCTAGTAATCCCTTCCTTAAATCACTTGTTAAAGCAACTGCTCAAGAAGAAATTTCTCGCCTAGCTGGTAGTAATAAGTTATCACAAGTAATATACATTGATGGATCTAAACAGGAGTCTTCTGGCAGGGCTGCATCTGCTATTGTTGCCACCTCCCTAGTTAATAACGATAATAAACTTGTTGAACTAGGCATAAGAATTAACAACTGGGCGTCTACATTGCAACCTGAACTGTTTGCAATCCTAATGGCGCTAAAGCTAACTTATGACACTGAGCTTGACTCTATCATCATTACTGATTCTAAGTCATCACTGAATGCTCTTAACTCATATAATGACTCAAACAACATGCTCACTGGGGAAGCCAGGTACAGATACTCAAAAATCCGGGACAAAGGAACACTATGTGTTTAATTGTCCACTTATTGAGGAATACAGAGACAGACAGTATAATAACCTATGTGACATGTCAAGATATCTTATTAATGAAAATAAGATACCAGATATACTAAGCAAATTTCCTAAATTTGCTTGTAACAGATAAGTGAACTATAGATATGTAGATATAAATCCTTATGTATTCATGTTAACCCTTTGGGGCCTAGTTCCTAGGCCTTTTGTGTATCCACATCCTCTTGCGCTACCGTCCACAGGGTGGATATGGGGTGCACAATAAACTAGCCACTTCGGTGGCAAAATCTAATCTCTGTCATTTAGTGGGTTGCTGAACACCGACTCGTACTGTTCTTTTAGGATTTCACTCATTTCCTGTTCATCGTCAGTATATGAGTCTCCTCTCAGTAGTGGTCCAATTCTACAGGTAGTTCTTAGCTTGGATTTTGCATAGAAATAGAAATATTTTGGGTTTCTTGCAATATCCTGTATGGCCCTTTGTTCCCTTTGTACTTCTTCTGTCAGGTATGACATCCTAATTTTTTGCTCTAATTCAGTGATCTCTCAGCTACATCTATCTTTCCTCTGTTGTAGCATATTTGTGTTTTTAAGCAATTCAGTAACCTGTTTTCTTCTTCTGTACCATCTCCTACCCTCTCTCTCTATATCTGATCTTCTTCTGGGTTTCCTCAATGGTACGTGTTTCATACATACCTTGTATGCTTCTGTATTCAGCTTCTCTAGACACTGGTGGGGATTTAGGGTGATCATGTCTGATTCCCATGGTATGTCTGATAGCTCTTGGTTTATTTTTTCCCAGTCAATTCTATGGTTGTTAAAATTAAACTTACTGAACATCCCGTCTCTCATATTAGTGACGCAGTTTCCTACGCCTGAGTTAATACTCGTTTGAACATCTATGATGTTATAATCAGAGTATATTGTTTTTGTAACTTTTATGTCTCTGATCAGTTTCTCATTGTTTGTGAATATCAAATCCAGGGTATTTTCATTTCTAGTGGGATCAATTACCTGTTGGTTTAAAGAGTACTTTTCACAAAGCCTCATTAGTTCCCTGGTATGTGCCTGTTGAGCCAGGGTGCTTCCCGGAGATATTTCTGGTATAACATTATGTTGAGCCATCTTCCATTTTACATGAGGGAGATTAAAATCTCCAAGGAGTAAAATATTTGGTGTGAGATTTTTCTAGCCTATCCAGATAGCTATCTATCTTCCTTAGCTGATCTGTGAATTCCCCAGCAGTTGCTGATGGTGGCTTGTATACTAGGATAATTACCAAATTCCTATTTTCAACTTTAATGCCTAGAATTCCTATTATATCATTCGTAGAGTTCAGCACTTCTGTGCAACAGAAAGCATCCTTTACATAGATTCCTACTCCTTCCTGTGTCCTATTGATTCTGTCACATCTATACATGTTGTAGTTTTCTATCTTTATCTCTCCATCAAAAACATCCCTTGTATGTGTTTCTGTAAATGCGCCAAGTGGTACATAGGTGAGACCCTTCAAATAACAACCAAAAAATCTTGGGTTTGAACCCAGGCTGACCAGACTTAACATGTTTTTATTCCTATTACAAGTATTCAAGTGTAAGATGAATGCATGCACGTGGTGCTCTATATATAATGATATTAATAAAAAAATATGCTAGTAATGTATTGCTAGCTTTACCTGTGAAATTAACATTGCAGATGCAACATGCTTCTGAAAACTTGTGCCTCATATTTCATCAATACTTCCTTTAAAAACTCATAAAACATAGAAAATGTTGTAAACTCAAAGCATAAACTTTTCATTGTCTGGAGCATAATGTTAACCCTTTCAGGGTTTTCGACATACTAGTACGGCTTACGCACCAGGGTTATTAATGTACTAGAATGCCTAAATTCTAGAGCCTTCAAATCTAGCGAGAGAAAGCTGGTAGGCCTACATATGAAAGAATGGGTCTATGTGGTCAGTGTGCGTAGTATAAAAGAATCTTGCAGCACACAGTGCGTAATGAGAAAAAAAAAGCTTTGACCGTGTTTTTGGATTAAAACAGCAAATTTGCACTGTATTTTTGTATGGTATTTATGGTTGTATTCTAGTTTTCCTGGTCTCATTTTATAGAATGGAAGACATATTACAGAAATTGAGATGATTTTGATTGGTTTCACAATGAAAAGTACAGTGGACCCCCGCATACCGTTGGCCTTACATAACGTTAAATCCGCATACCGATACGTTTTATCGCTAAGATTTTGCCTCGCATACCGCTAAAAAACCCGCTCAACGCTGCTCGTCCGAGACGCGTCTAATGTGCGGCCTTAGCCACCCTCACATGTTCCGCCGGTGGCATTGTTTACCAGCCAGCCTCCGCGGTAACATCCAAGCATACAATTGGAATATTTCGTATTATTACAGTGTTTTTGGTGATTTTATCTGCAAAATAAGTGACCATGGGCCCCAAGAAAGCTTCTAGTGCCAACCCTACAGGAATAAGGGTGAGAATTACTATAGAGATGAAGAAAGAGATCATTGATAAGTATGAAAGTGGAGTGCATGTCTCCGAGCTGGCCAGGTTGTATAATAAACCCCAGTCAACCATCGCTACTATTGTGGGCAACAAAAAGGCAATCAAGGAAGCTGTTCTTGCCAAAGGTTCAACTGTGTTTTCAAAACAGAGATCGCAAGTGATGGAAGATGTTGAGAGACTTATTGGTGTGGATAAATGAAAAACAGATAGCAGGAGATAGCATCTCTCAAGTGATCATAAGTGAAAAGGCTAGGAAGTTGCATCAGGATTTAATTAAAAAAATGCCTGCAACTAGTGATGATGTGAGTGAATTTAAGGCCAGCAAAGGTTGGTTTGAGAGATTTAAGAAGCGTAGTGGCATACATAGTGTGATAAGGCATGGTGAGGCTGCCAGTTCGGACCACAAAGCAGCTGAAAAATATGTGCATGAATTCAAGGAGTACATAGAAAGTGAAGGACTGAAACCTGAACAAGTGTTTAATTGTGATGAAACAGGCCTGTTTTGGAAGAAAATGCCAAGCAGGACCTACATTATTGAGGAGGAAAAGGCACTCCCAGGACATAAGCCTATGAAAGACAGGCTTACTCTGTTGATGTGTTCCAATGCTACTGGTGATTGCAAAGTAAAGCCTTTATTAGTGTATCACTCAGAAACTCCCAGAGCGTTCAGACAAAAGAATATCCTCAAGGCTAATTTGTGTGTGCCGTGGAGGGCAAACAGTAAGGCATGGGTCACTAGGGACTTTTTCTATGACTGGTTACACCATGCATTTGCCCCCAATGTGAAAGATTACCTAACTGAAAAGAAATTAGACCTTAAGTGCCTCCTGGTGTTAGACAATGCCCCTGGTCATCCTACAGACGTGGCAGAGCGACTTTATGGAGACATGAAGTTCATTAAGGTGAAGTTTTTGCCTCCTAATACCACTCCTCTCCTGCAGCCCATGGACCAGCAGGTTATTGCAAACTTCAAAAAACTGTACACAAAAGCTCTGTTTGAAAGGTGCTTTGTAGTGACCTCAGAAACTCAACTGACTCTAAGAGAGTTTTGGAGAGATCACTTTAATATCCTCAATTGTGTAAACCTTATAGGTAAGGCTTGGAGGGAGTGACTAAGAGGACCTTGAACTCTGCTTGGAAGAAACTGTGGCCAGAATGTGTAGACAAAAGGGATTTTGAAGGATTTGAGGCTAACCCTGAGAGGAGTATGCCAGTTGAGGAATCAATTGTGGCATTGGGGAAGTCCTTGGGGTTGGAGGTTAGTGGGGATGATGTGGAAGAGTTGGTGGAGGAGGACAATGAAGAACTAACCACTGATGAGCTGATAGATCAACTTCAACAGCAAGAGGCCAGACCTGAGGAAACTGGTTCGGAGGAGGGGAGAGAGAAATTGAAGAAGTTGTCTACTACAAAGATTAAGGAAATCTATGCAATGTGGCTGAAAGTGCAAACCTTTATGGATGAAAATCACCCTCACACAGCTATTGCAAGCCGTGCTGGTGACTATTACACTGACAATGTTGTGAAACACTTTAGGGAAGTCATAAAGGAACGAGAGGTACAGGCCACTATGGACAGATATGTTGTGCGACAGAAGTCCAGTGACTCTGAAGCTGGTCCTAGTGGCATTAAAAGAAGAAGGGAAGTAACCCCAGAAAAGGACTTGACACCTCAAGTCTTAATGGAAGGGGATTCCCCTTCTAAACATTAAGACTCTCTCCTCCTCCCATCCTATCAATCATCACCAGATCTTCAATAAAGGTAAGTGTCATGTAATTGTGCATGCCTTTTTCAGTTTGTGTGTATTAAAATTAATATTTCATGTGGTAAAAATATTTTTTTTTCATACTTTGGGGTGTCTTGCAAGGATTAATTTGATTTCCATTATTTCTTATGGGGAAAATTCATCCGCATAACGATAATTTCGCATAACAATGAGCTCTCATGCACGGATTAATATCGTTATGCGGGGGTCCACTGTACCTTGAAAATGAGCTCAGAGTAGCAGAAATGTTTGATTTTTACCAAAGTTCAAAAGTAAACAAATCATGCCATGCATCCAATACACATCAACTGGTGAGTCTAATATTCTTTCACAAGTGTGCTGATATTATTTATACCATTTCTACACTAATGCAGTAGTCTGCATAACAGTAAATCTTCTATTTTTTGTGAGAATAAAAATTCAAAGTGGAAAACAAAAGAAATATAAGAGGGGTGTGGGACCTGACTAACGAACAAAGAACTTGTTATTTTAGTGCTAGCAATGTCTGTGTTGTTTATTCTGGACCCTATTTGGAAATTGGCATCTTCTGAAATTTGTGAAATTGGCAAAATTGCCAATTTCTAACCACTTTATTGGATAGTTGAAATTGGTAAATGGGTAGTTTCTTGTACTCATTCAATAGAAAAAAATGCAGTTCTAGCAAAATAAATATGATTTTTGTTGACTAGTACACAGGAATTGGCCGGAAATAGGGTTCAAAGTGGGTGAAATCACCGATGCCTAAACATTGGCGAGACCGCTAACTTCGCGAGAGCATAATTCCGTAAGTTTTCCATCAAATTTCAAACTTTTGGTGTCATTATGATCAGGAAACGATTCTCTATCATTTCGTAAGAAAAATAATTCCTTTTTTCCAAAACATTTTCGACCCTGAGAACAAGTTTAGGAGAGGGCCTCTCGACCCTGAAAGGGTTAAAACAGTTTAAAAACTAAGTATTTCTGGAGCAAATCATTGTAGCTTCTTACCATATTCCAAATATTCATTTGCTGCAATGTCAGCCATCATTTCATCATGAGACACAAAGTAATAATTCTTTCCATTTTCTTCATCCTTTCGTGGACTTCGAGTAGTATCTGTAACATGAGAAACTGTTAGTGAGAGCAGCAGTAAGTAGTAAAGGATTGTGAGTTCAAGTATGATAAATGCAAAAGGATGTTTAAACTGTGCAAAACAAAATATCGTAGTGTTAATCTCTATAGCATTTCGTCATTGAAAGATTGGAAGGATTTAAACGTGTTTCTAGTATGTTATAGACTGGCCCATTCTAAGATCTTTTTACTCCTGTGACTTTTGTCATAAATTTTTTTAATCCAGTCAGTCATTATTCCTACCTACGGCTATGAGCAATTGTAAATTGGAACACACACACTCCCAAATCTAGAATTACAATACTGCACATCTCGACTCTTCACTCCACTTAGGAAAGAGTTTAGGCTATTTGATTGATTACTTAATGATGAGGAATTCCTCTGTTGGCTTCAGACAATGTTAACAATTTCCTGTGCCCTGACTGGGTTCTGAAAAAAAAAAGACTTAAATTAGGCCTAAAAAGCTACCTTAATTGGATAGCAGAATGTCAGAGTTTACCCTCTATCCAGCTTGATCTGTTTCATTTGAACAGTTCTGAAGAGAGAATATGTATATAATTTCACTATAATTAAGAGCTTGTGTTTTAAACTCTTAAAGAAGGTAGTATCCATTAACACTTCCATGTTCGTAGTGCAAAAGTTTGCCTGGATTATAGCCATATGTAAATTAAAATATTTGAAAAAAAAAAAAATAGGATTATATGACATATTTTATGAAGTAAATTTTGTGAGATGAAATTATATATATAAAATAACTAATGAAAAAAGTACAGTACTGTACTCTTCATATTGTCAAAGTACGCACAAAATAATTGAGTGCTCTAAGTTTGCATATAGCTCATTGATGCATGAAGCATCTTCTTAACATGTAGAAGCAAAGGCATGCCAGTACTGGTGTGATCTATATAAATTATAGGCTAGTCAACTAAAGTACTAATTTATAACTAAAATGAACAAATGACAACTAAATATTAACCAGTTACTGACACTGAACTAGTGATGACAACAAAGAATTAAAACTAATTCTACCAGACAGAGGTAGTATCTATTTTACCAGAATTTTTTCTATAAGAATGTTAAAAATAACTTTTTCCATCATAAAAAAATATTTCCAATTTCGAAGTACAGTACATAATTTAGGTTTGATAATTATTTTTTTTATAACCCATTTCCCTTTTCGGAGACTTACGTGGTATTGGGTAGGCATATTTGTCAGGATGTGAAGCTATAAGGGTATTCTTAATGTGTCGCCTCCCTACCCCATGGGCACCAAGCAGCACCAGTGTCTTCCGTCGAAATGCTGAGGGTACAAAGTTTATTAACAAAAATATACTCATACGTACTCATGAAATCACAATAATATGACTGCAAACAATCCATAGAACAAGCAGGGTTTGAACCCATGACTTGTAGTTTCAGGACTCACCATGGGTTCAAACTCCATCCATTCCCTTGTTTGTTTACTCATACGTAGCTCTGAAAAATTTCCTTGTTTTCCACTACAATTTTTACTTAGCTAAGTTATTTCAGTTGGCTAATGTTCTTTCTCAGTCTTTATTATACAATGTATTAGGCTAGTAATACTCAAAATGGAATTTATTGTTTTAGTTGAAATTGTTTTTCTATGCATAATACATTTAAGTTCAGCTGTTATATATTAACTGTTCTAATTAAATATATATGTTATTATCTTGTAGAACAAAAGTCACCTGTTTGAAGAATCATCAACCTTCACTGAAGTTTAATGACTTCCTCATAGGTAACAAGAATCATCAACTTACATGGCAGTTTTATAACTTCCTCATAGGTGACAAGATCAAGTTGGTCAAAAACAGCATTGTGTTTGGCAAGATACTTGTCTTTATGCTGTTTTTTCTTCCGACCAAAGAATGAGCAGTTCACTGAAATACAAAAGAAATCTGAAGATTATTAAACCAAACAATAAGCAAAGCAATTAGTTGAGATGGTGGTTTTACATGGAAAGAGCATCAGCAGCGTAGAGGGCAGTGAAATCTGAAAGCACAAGTTAAATAGTATGATTTATTTTTCAAGATCACCAGACAAAGGCATTGAATGTTGTCCTGAGGTTCAGTTGGTAATGCTCTCGCCTCACACACTGAGTGTCCATGGTTCAGTCCCCAGCATGGATGGAAACACTGAGCATGTTTCTTTACAGTTGCTGTCCCTATTCACCAAGCAATAAGTAGGTACCTTCTTGTAGTCAACTGGTTTGGGTGGCATCCTGGGGGACAAGCCTGAAGGAACTCAATGGAAATAAGATACAGTCCTCAGTGATGCATTGACTTAGATTATTCCGAGTGGCTAACCTTCCAGGTTAAAAATCCAAACAAACCTTGTGTTAACTATAGTAATAAGTGAGAAATAAAATTAGCCCTTGAAAATAAAGATAAAGTAGTGAAAGAGACACAGCAAAAGGAGACCTTTATTAGTGTACTAATAAAGATTTCTTTTTATCACTTGTCAGCCATGCCATACTTTAACATAACAGACCTCTTTGTAATGGATTATGGAAATATAAAACAAAATCTCCAAAGTCAAATAATTTGGAAACAATTGACAAAGTCCATTGGTTACATATTTGCCCATTATTGTTACAGTCACAGCAAAATAATTTCTTATTTATTCATCACAACTGCCTTTACTGACCACCCACTTCCCCCATATTAGTCTGTTATATAGAGGGTTTACTGTAAAATTAAAGAAAAAGAATGGCAACAATCCTGGATGACTGTTGGTAATGTATACAGAATTGGCCATCAACTATATCTTTGAAGTCTGTGCAACGAGGAACAGCTGGTTGGAAGGGAAGTTTGTTTAATATTATCTTTTGGAATATAAGTAATTAAGAAAAACAAATAATTCAGATCCTGGGTTGTGTGTAATTATAATTAATGAGAATATATGGGTGGATTTTAGTTTAAGTTCATCAAAGAGAAACTTGCTTTGTTGAGAGGGTAAGTGAAAATTATACCCCCCTCCCTGCCCATCTTTTCTTCCTGCCCAGCCAGGTCACCACGGTAGTGCTGTACCTTGCTCACCTGCCACACACATTTTCCTCATGTCTCAACAGGCCACCAAAGGAGGATGCAGTGCCCCATCTCCATACACATACATTAGAATTTATTCAAAAACAAAATCTTGTAAATATACGGTAGAACATTTAAGTGAGATCATGAATCTCCTCCAGCTCCTCAGAAGCTGGATTGGACCCAAGGATACACCAGTCATGTATACTCTGGATGGCCACACTGATATTCTGGGACAAGAGGGTGGCAGCACTTCTGTCCCTAGTGGTGTTGATAAGGTTGGAATCAAGTTCTTGGAGGAAATGTGTTGCACGTTTCTCCATAATTCATCTGAGACTGAATTCTTCTCTGCGATCAGTACAGTGGCATGCCTAAGTGGCACAAGTGGCACATACCCTGGGTGCCACTTGAAGGGGGGGGGGGTGCCACTGAGCAGTTTTTATTAAAGTCAAACAAGCCATCCTCAAATAGCAAAAAGTTTTCTTCAGATGTATGATCTGTCTTTAATTATCATGGTTGAGAAGTACTAGGATGGCTAGATTGTTAAACCACTTATATAAATTATTAGGTAAAAATACAGTGCTGGGAGCTACATGACAACATACCTCACGATACCACTGTTCAGTGCCAACTGGCAATAAGACCATTTTCCTGTGCAAACTAGGGAGGTAGTCTAGAATTTTGTGCAAAATCTATGAAATTTAATGTTCTTAATAAAAGTGCCATTTCCTTATTTCAGAGCTACTGTGTAAGAAGACTTATGAAATGTTTCTTCATGAGAAAGAAGGAAAGTGGTGTCGAAGAGATGAAGGTTGGAGGCAGAGGAAGCCAAGTCAAGCAAGTTCTTCATGCCCTTCTTTGAAAAGCCCAGAACAAGTTGTTTGACACATTCCACGTAGTCGCCTGCTACAAGTTTGTTACAATCTGAAGGTGCATCAAGTAAAAATGTGTCACAAGCTGAGAAAGAAGTCAAGTCTGATAAATCCGAGTATGATAAAATTAAAAGTAAGGCTGCCAGAGAGAATGTGGACATGACAGGAGGGAAAGACAGTGGTGGTGATGTTGAGTTTATTGATGAGATTTTACCTGAAAAGATTGAACCTGATGACACTGAACCTAGTGAACTGGATCATGTTGAAGATCCTCGAACTGTCATACAAGAAATGATTGAACAGCATGACATTGTACTTTTGAAGTACAATAAGGATACTGGAAAAGCAGTTCTGCCTTACACACTGAGAACAGAAATAAAGCAGGGTTCAAAGTATTTCAAGAAGAGTGAGGGGCCTTTCCTACCAACAAATAGCCACTCAATGAACAAAAATTGGTTATACGAAACTGGGAAATAGTCGTAGTGAGGAAGTGACTCACTAATGGCTGGTCTATTCCCCTTCTAAAAAGTCTGCATTTTGTATTTGTCATCTTCTCTATTACCGGTCAAACCATCAATCCTCATTGGAGCAGGAAACTGGATTCAACCAGTGGAAAGCACTTGATAGGATTAGTGTTCGTGAAAATACTAAGAATCATTGGGAGTGCTTTACACAGTGGAAAGAAATGGAAAGAAATTTAGCTGAAAACAGAAGAGTTATTGAGGTGGAACTTTAGTCACAGATTGAGAAGGATAAGCAGAAATGTAATATCTTGACGAGAATCCTTCACTGCATAAAATTCCTTGTGACTCAGAACCTGGCTTTGCAAGGATACAGGGAGTCACTTCAGCTGGATGATGACTCCAGTGTGGGAAATTTCCTTGGCTTACTGAAACTACTGGCCATCTTTGACCTTGTCATGAAAGAACACCTCACTCCTGTGGAAATTAATCCTGGATCCACATTTTATTTTTCACCAAGTGTCCAGAATGAATTCATCCACTTGGCATCCTCTGTTTGCCAGAGTTTACTGAGAACCTTTCATAAAACCAAGTATACTATGATCTCATGTTTGACTCAATTCCTGATCAGGCAGACCATAAGCATGTCAGTAGTGAGTGAGAGATGTGGAAGTTGATTTTGAGAGGAAAACAGTCCATGTTAGAGAGTCTTTTCTTGGTTTTATCCAGATAAGCCAGAAGGATCCTGAGAGCTTGGTTGAAGACATCATGAAAAAACTAGAGAAGGACAAAATGGAGCTACAAAATTGTCAGTCACAGTTTTATGACAACTCTGCTGTGATGGCTGGACACTAAGTGGTGTTCATTAAAAACACCGTGGTTCAGTCTCTATGCTGGGGACTGAACCACGGACACTCAGTGTGTAAGGCGAGAGCACTACCCACTGAGCCTTAGGATAACATACATTGCTTTTCGCAGTGTTTGTGAAATGCGACAATCACTCAGTCAACTTGGTGGGTGTACATGCAACCACGAAGGATACAATGATGGCTACTTTTTATTGGAACAATCGATGGTCTCTGTGTGGTCTCTCGTTCAACAAAGCACTGGGAAAAACTCAATAAAACGCAGTGCCAGTGGTTGTTAAGTCGGAGTCTGAAATCAGGTGGAGTGCAATGACAGAAGTAGTGAAACCTGTCAACAAGTACTTTGAGGAGTTACTTCAAGTTCTCCAGGACATGATAGACAATGAAAATGAGATCAATGAAACAAGAAGTGGTGAAAGACAGCTGTATAACTGCGCAATGAGTTATGATTTTCAGACTTTGCTAGAAGTACTCATTCACATTGACCATATTCAAAAGAGGCTGCAGGATCTTAGCATGAACTTCCACGATGATGCCTTGGATTTGAAAGCCCTATTGAGATCATTTTGATGATGAAAGAGAAGTGTTGGTCAGTGAGTCACTCAAAGAAGGACTTGGCCTTTGTCAAGAATGGAATATCGAAGATGAAAGATGTCAAAGACGAAAGAAAAATGAATGGCTGATGAGAACTTACGAGACGCTGGGTTAAAAGCCACAAAGGAAATGGAAAGTCATGAAGGGAACACTTGACCATCTTCATAGGGAAATGGATGAAAGGTTCGCTCATTTGCACGACACTGATGCCAGTTTGCCCAAATTTTCACACTTCTTCATTAGGTCATTACTGTTGGTTCTGCAACACAGTCCTTGACATCAAGAAGGAACTCAAACTTACCTGGAGGGAGTTTTGGGGATCAATGCCCCCCACAGCCTGGTCCGTGACTAGGTCTCGCTCTGGATTAGGGTCTGATCAACCAGGCTGTTACTGCTGGTCTCACATAAACCGATGTACGAACTACAGCCCGGCTGGTCAGGTACTGATTTAAGGTGCCTGTCCAGTGCCTTCTTGAAGACAGTCAAGAGCCTACTGGTATTCCTCTTTATGTATGCTGGGAGGCAGTTGAACAGTCTTGGGTCCCTGACTCTTATTGTGTTGTCTCTTGGCACACAGGGGTCATCCCACACACACTAAAAACAACAAACATAGCCCCACTCCACAAAGGTGGCAGTAAAGCAATTGCAAAGAACTACAGACCGATAGCACTAACATCCCATATAAAAATCTTTGAGAGGGTTCTAAGAAGCAAGATAGCCAACCACCTAGATACCCATCAATTACACAACCCAGGGCAACATGGGGTTAGAATAGGTCGCTTTTGCCTGTCCCAGCTACTGGACCACTATGACAAGGTCCTGGATGCTGTAGAGGATAAACAAAATACAGATGCAGTATACACAGACTTTAGAAAAGCTTTCGACAAGTGTGACCACGGTGTAATAGCACACAAAATGCAGGATAAAGGAACAACGGGAAAAGTCCGTAGATGGATCTACAACTTCCTGACAAATAGAACACAAAGAGTAATAGTAAACAGAGTAAAGTCCCAGGCAGCCATGGTAAAAAGCTCTGTTCCACAAGGCACAGTACTCGCTCC